TCGAGAAAAGGGATCGAGGCGTCCGGCGTTTTTTGTCCGTGTGACAGTCGGTGGGGTATTCTGCAGCATATTCTGTTTTTCCCACCCGCCCGCACGTGCTTTTGAGGGTGGTAGTAGGAGGGAGAGCAGATTCTTAGCGCGGGCATTCGTAAGGTAGTTGCCTGGGCTAAGTGTACCCGGTGTCCTTTTTCCGCGAAGCCCGGGTACAGGGTAGTACGAGTTGCGCCAAGTAATTTTCGAGCGTGTTCCTATGTGCGGTGGGCTGTTAGTCTCCGCAGCCCCGGTTACCGGAACGCACGTACCAGGTTTCGGGCGCGGTATAGTCCGCAGCCCTGTTAAGTGTGTTTATCGCGTATGAGCTTGGCAGAGTAAGGGCGCACCTCGGAAAGTCGTTTGGGCGTACACATTGTATGAATATTTCTTACGTGCGTTGTCGTTCGGCATCTTGTTAACAATGCCCGAACCGTATACGTTTGGTGGACCTGCAATGTGTGTACGCTAGTGTGGGGGAATCGTTCGCCTATGCTGTGGCGATCTAGAGAGAGTGTGGAATGTTAGCTGGGACTGGGGCAGGCAATCGTGTCGAGTGCCTGGTGGTACGCCATCTGGCTAGATTCGTTGATGGTCGATTCGGGCTCGTACGTGAAGTTCGCCCGAATGAGTGTTCACTCTCTCATTCCCCCCCCCCTGATGCCAGGCGGGGGCATGTAGTCTATGTACTTAATCCAACTATTCGAAAGCATCTGAACAAAACAACAACTTCATCATGCAATGCGCTCGATAGTCCAGTATCCAGTCGGTTTTTCTCTCGTTCACTGCTACAAAGACTTCAACCAATGCCCTTCGATGATGGCTGTGTTTTTATTTCTGGACCACTGCATTCATCATTATTATGACGAATGAAGACAGCAGTCGGTATAATAAGTCAGGGAGATGATTTTCCCGCTGGCCGGGGTTGCCACATCGATCGATGCCCCAGCTTGTGACAGGGTAACGAAGTGTGTTGACAACCCCTAGAGGAAGAAGAAGCTTAACTCGATCAGAACCAGCCTTCCTAGTTGCCTGAGCGCCGCATATGTGTGTGTGCAGTAAAATGTGTCTGTGCTCTGTCGGTTGTGAGTACGCACTCAGACGCCAACGCACGCTTTCTTTCACGACACGACAAACAGGTAGCAAGCACGACGACTTTCAGAGAAGAAAAGAAGGCCTTTCGTATGGTAGACTATACGACTGCTGTTCATCTTTTGGAAGCTCCTCGCACCAGGGGAGGGGTGATGATCTGCGATTCCCCACCGAACCATAGTCGAGACTCCGCGAGATTTGGGTCGTAGCTCGGGATCAGCATTTCGGGCCAGGTCGGGCAAGGGGTGGGGGAGTCGAATGAAACATGGATATTGGTCTGAGAAGCTGAAGCTAGATAAAGCTTCAGAATAGAGAATATGTGTGATGACCGTCCCCTGCTCTTTTTTCATGTCGGAGACCCCCCCCACCCCACCCCCCCGAAAGACTTGGTAGGGACAAAAATAAAAAAATAGATCACCTGCCTGACCACGCGTTCACGCAAGGTTACGTAGGGAATACAAGGGTGCCTGCACTCCTTTCTCGACGAGAGGAACGTCCCCGGTAGTACATGTTACATGCACACTCATGTGGCCTATTTCGTGTACATGGCAGCAGCATTCTTTTCTTCGCCCGCAATTTTCACTATACATAGCGCCCGCACTTAGGAACTTGGCAGTTAGGAAATTGAGACTCGCAAAAGTCAGAAGCTAAGAACTTGAGCACCATTTGTGAGCTCGGTTAAGAACCCCACACTAAAAGCCTATATAGCGGCCATTTGTAGCCCACAAGAGGATGGTCAGCAAAATAAAAACCCCAGCCTCAGCCGAAAACAAGAGGTTCTTAAGTGCGGGCGCCATCTGTACACCCTTTCCCTTGACGCGAATCACTCTCTCAAGCGCTGCTAGATCGAGGGACGGGCGCTTATCTACCGTCAGGGGCGGAGAGACGAGACCCCCATCAGGCCGACCACTGCTGTCAAAGGTCGATTGCTCCGCAACCTACTCGTCGGAATGGCGACACGTGGCGAGGGTTGCCCTCTTGCGACCGCGGCCATCATGCACGAAGCAAGCGACACGAAGCAAGCGACACACAACACCCGACGTACCTGCAACCGACACCGCAGCCTGCTCGTGATCGAAATTAATTTGGGAAAGCTTGAAATCGTCTTGAGAGCAGCTGTTGATGCTGCTGTCTCCAAGCGCTGCAGCACCACCACGAAGAGATCAGTGTAGGTGATATACCACAGCTGCAGTAGTTTGAGAGGACTTGGGTGCGTGACATGAAGTTGTGCATCTTTTAAGCACGGTGCCTTTTACCGTGCTGGTGACGGGAGGGGGGGGGGTGGGACAACTGGACGGCGCGGCCACCAACTTCAATACCATTCTCGTTCCAATTTTATGGCGGCCTTGAGCCGCAAACAGGCTCTTAGGTGGCGGGAAAAGACCAAAACGCATAAAAGACAAACAGCCGTTCACGGGAGGCAATAAGTCACGTTAGACAGCACGGTGACTCCCCATACATACCCTCGATACGTTCCAAAAACAAAACAATAAATATCCGACAGTCAACCATGACGTCGGAGCTAGAATGCACTTAAAGGATGCATCCTTGACGTCCGATCCAGGTTCAGTCTTGTGCATGCCGACTACCAAGCTTCAAGCTGCAAAATTAGCAAGCAGGAGAGGGGGACTCCTCAAACCGTGAATAATTCCGCTTTTGCGTAGTCGAGATCCAACAAGGAACAAACAGCTAAATATGCATACAACGGCAAGGGGCGGAAACAGAGCAAACTGAACGCGATCTTGGACGGTCGCGCGAACGTTACAACCCTCCCCCTCTCCCACATGCCTCCACCTGACCCTCGCTTCCCCCCCCTCCCCAAAGTGCAGGGATTGCACGAAAACATTAAGTCAGTACGAGATACGTGAAATGAGAAAACGTGACTCGGCCAAGCCAACGGAGTAAGGCGAAAATCCATGAAAGACTACAACTATTTGCAAAGCACTTCATACAGCAAGAGCAGTGTTCTGTACTCCTTCTCGCCAAGCTTACTGTATGAATACGAATATAGAACACCATCAAACTTGTTCCGAGCGGGAATCAAAACCCTCTCGACGGTATGGACCTATTATCTCTTCTTTGCGCCCAAGGGAGCAAAGTTAGAGTATGTACTTCCTCTCCAATGCGTGAGGCGCACACCACAACAAACGCCTCCCGCCCGCCCGCCCCAAACTACCGAGAAAACCAACCGACCAATCAGCACGCAACAAATGTCCAGCTGTGTCGCCTTNCCCCCCCCCCCGCCCCCGCCCCCCGCATGCTTGACGCATGGCCGGCAAAATCCTGATCCGTACGTCTCGGTATCGTATCTTTGCGCCATTGAGGAAAAAAGGAATAAAAACGTCCATGGGAGAGAAAACACAAGGGACCATGACACCCCACGAACGCCCCCCCCCCCCCCCCCCCCCCCCCCCCCCCCCCCCCCCCCCCCCCCCCCCCCCCCCCCCCCC